GCCCCGCGGCCCGCTGCCGCCGCCGCCGCTACGGCGCTGCATCTTCACCCTTTGCTGCACCCCATTTTCTCAGGACAGGACTTGCAGCATCCCCCCAGTCACGGCACATGAAGGACGAAAGTGAAGTAACCTCGGAGGAAGGAGGATATTTTTGCATTTTGGGAAGGGGTTGAAGGCGATGCGGTTGGCAGGTGAGGCCTTGGGAATTTCATTTCACTCTTTGGTGGCCGAAGAAGCCCCGGGCTGGAGGGCCGGTGGCAGCAGGCGGCGGGGCGGTTTTTTAAGCGTCGTGAATATCCACTTCCAGGGACTGTCTGGCGTCCAGCGCCTCCGTGCACGCAGCAGCGCTCTCTCCTAGAACCACCATCGCACGTGTAGACCAGTGAGACGCTTGGAAAGGCTTTTTTCCCTGGTTTCCTGCGCTCCGTCATCTTCCTCTGCCGCCTTGTATGTGATCAGTGAAATTTCATTCACGCTAATAGGTCTTTCAGATCCTTTTAATGAGGTCATCTAATTAAAGTAGCCAGCATGATTGACTCCGGCTTCTCATTGGTGATAGAACGTTGGGTAACTGGGGGATCCTGGCGAGGGGACCGGTGGAAGGGCAGTGCCACTCTTGCTTTGCCTGGGCTGGTACCGGTTTTCAGGCATTGCAGGAGATTCCTTGGCACCCCATCGCCACACGCTTGGGTGGTTTGTGGTTTTTTTTCCTCGATGTGACAGTGAAGGTGGAAGTAAGATCTTTTCTGAAAGCTGAAGTGAAGAGGAGCTGCACGTGCGCTCGGAGCTCCGACCCTTCTCCATCCCGCATTAGCATTCTCCAGCACCATTGGCACCTTCTGGATATCCTGGACTGGAGAGAGGGTCTCGGTTTGGTGGTTGGTGATTTCAAGGTGGGCTTTGACCACGCTTCTCCTGAGAGGGAAGGGGAAAAAAAACAACCAAACAAATAAAAATCACTCTGACTTCCATCTTTTGCGGTGTTGGGAAGGAGGCACTCGGATGAGAGAGAGAAGGAAAATCCCTGAAGGAATTGAAGCAATACAGAGGACTGGGGAGAGCGGCAGGGGTGTGTAAAGTGTATTCTTTCCTCTGTAATACTGATGGTTTCCTTATTAATTTATAGGATTTTTTTTTTTTTAATGTAAAGAATTGCACTGAACTCTGTAAACAAAGATGCTGCTTTTTGTAGCTCATATAAAAAGGTTACATTTGTAGTATACCGCAATAATATTTTTTACAGCCAGTTCTTTTAGTGGTACTTGTTCCGGTGGCTTCTGTGTAAATATGTTTGCTGTAGGTGAAATAAGACACTTGTAAAGGTTCAACTTTATAGTCTCAGCTAGATGCAAAACGACTAAGCATGTATATTTTACCAAGCTCATGTATTTTTGAAGTTTTTATGTACTATAAAATGTAAAAAAAAAAATAATATCTTCATTTAGCATTTTGCAGAAGAAAAAAAAAAGTGAGACTTGGGCTGGGTGAGGTGGGTGGAGGAGCCAGCGGTGGCTCGGACAGTTGATGACTGGCATCGTGCTGGGAGCTGCTGGCTCTGCGGAGCGGGCAGCCCGGGCAGCGCCGTGCCCTCCGCGCCTCTGCCAAGCAGCTGCTGGTAGGAATCGACACTGGAGACAGGCTCAGGAGTGTCAGGGCTTTGGGTTGTTTCCCAGAGTATAAAATACCCCCTTTTTTTTTTTTCCCCTTTTTTTCTTTTTTTTTAATTTTAATTTTTTCCCCCTGGGTTCGAAGCGGTGATTGGCAGGTGCCAGCCCGGCCGTGTGGTTCAGAACAACCTGGTGAAGGAAGAGCCCTGTAACCATTTGCCATCTGACACGCTGGCAGAGGCGCTTCAGGACTGATCCGTTGAGGCCGTGGTGTTCCCTAAGGGATTTCTCTGGCTTTTCCAGCACCCTCCGCCGGCTGTGGCTCCCCCTAACCGCGGGAGATCCTCCATCCACGAGCTCTTCCCGTCGCACGAGGACGAGGCGCTGCTGACCCGGGTGGTTCAGGTCCAGGGCTTGCTCGTGTTGGGGCGGGTCAGGGGGAA